AGAAAGCAAGAGACCTGAGAACTAGAAAGGCGAGGCTCACTGAGCCATTTATCCCTCTGCCCTTCAATTAACCCCACATGTGTTTATTGGCCAGGGTGGCACAATAAACTTTAACTATCTCAAAAGGCCTGGCAATCCACTGCTGGCAAAGCAGCCTCCAGAAACCCTACAGAGCACAGTTTGCCGAGACACACGGGGTCTCTGTGAGTCTAATCGACGCGATGGTACCTGGGAGAGATTATTAATATTGGTGGGTGTGTGAGTCTGGGTGGACTAGAGAAACAAATTCATAGACACTCATATGTGAATAAGAAAGAGCTTTATATACAAGAGCAATTGAGCATTGAGAAAACATCCCAGCCAAGTCCAGATCAAATCCATAAGTCCGATATTAGCCCATATGTCTGATACCAATCTATAAAGTCCTCTTCAGATTCACGAAACACATGCAATGATGCTGAAATCAGGAAGATCACAGGTCAATGGGTGGGAAGTCTTGTGGATCCAGTGGCAGTGTAAGCATCTTAGTGCTGGCAGAGGTCTCCACGTGGCTTCTCCAACTCCAGGGCTCTAGCGTGGCTCCATGTGTTTTGTCAACAGGAATGTCTCACAGGGAGCCAGTGTGTCCCGCCTCCCGTGAGCTATTTATCTCCATCGCACGTCCAAGTGAGCTCATCAAGCTGTGACCTGATTGACAGGCCAGACTCCACCCCTTCGCAAGTTGTCAGATCATGACAGGCCACAGCAAGATCCTGGGTTTTTATCATCATGGGGAATTTTCCCCAAAAAACAATTCTTACAACAGATAAGGGAGGTTTCTGGTTCGAACAGAGGAGACCCTTGGCCCACCCCCCGCCAGCCCCCTGCCCTGTGGCCCCATCATTCACTCCAAGACCCCTTTCATGGGCTGGAAACCCGCAGGTTAAATAACCTCATGGTGCCTGTCAGCCTGACTATGTGCCGCTGCCGCTGCCATGGTGTCTGCAATGACATGCGTCACGGAGCAGACCACTGCCCATCCGGCCTGTGGCATCTTCCTGGTGGCGCTGTAGCTAGCCATCTCCTGGGGACTCGCCCATGGGCTGTGGTCCTTTACTTGACACTGGCAGGTCTGTGCTCCCGAGGCAGTGAGGAAATGGCAATGCAGAAAGCCGGGAGGTGTGGCAGTCCCTCGTCCGTGACCGTGGGACACACCTTGAACCTGGGGGATGACAAAGTGTGCTTACACGCACAGGCCAGAGAGGGGAGCATGGGGAGGGACATCATGAAGGTCACCTTGGGTGAGGACCTCTCCCCAACTCCCCACCCTCTGACCACTCCCAGCACCACTGCTCCTTGTGGCCCCGTCACTTCCAGAAAGCTCCCAGCGTATGCCAAGGTCTAACCCAGGGTGAGAACTTTGGTGGTGTGATGGGGAAAGCCGGTGGTTCAAACCCACCAACCACGGCATGGGAGAAAGATGAGGCTGCCTGTTCCCATAAAGGTTGGCAACCTCAGAAACCCTCAGGGGCAGTTCTACCCTGTCCTATAAGGTCGATATGAGTAGGAATCTGTGTCACGGCATTGGATTTTGGGTTTGGTGGAACACAGAGGGGTGGCACTTCAGTGAAGCATCGCACTGCTAACAAAAGGTGGGTGGTTCGAACCCACCAGCCGCTCCAAGGGAGAAGGGGAGGCTGCCTGCTCCTGTAACGTTTTACAAAGCCTATATAGGGTCTCCAAGAGTCTGAATCGACCCGATGGCAGTGGGTTTGGCTTCTGGTCTCCCAGGGTGGTCCATCAGTGACGCTCGACCTCAGCCCCACAGTGCATGTGCTGCCAGCAGGCGGGTCAGGGTTCCTGGGCATCTGCCAGGCACGTCTCTCCAGCCCTGCAGCCCTGGCTGAGGCCTGGGTGCGGTCTGTGTGGACCCAGGGAGGGCAGCCAGCTCTTCCCGCGCTCCTCCAACAAGTTCCACGGGTCTGTTTGCTGAAGAAAATTCCAGTGGGCCCATCCAACAGCCGGAACCGGAGCCCAGAAACCCTTTCTCTCCGCCCTCCTGCCAAGGCGGTCACATGCCCCCTGAGTCACTCCAGATGTGCTCAAAACAGAGGCTCTCAGAAGCCCAGTCCCAATCCCAGAGAGAGTTGGGTTCAGAGAGGTCCCGGCTCCAGTCCCAGCCAGGGAGAAGCCTCACTCACAGCCTTCTGAGGAGTGGGGGCTCTGGGAAAAGGGGAGGGTGGCCAGGCTGACCTTCTCTCTGGGAGCAGCCCGGCACACCTGGGCCAAAGGTCCCACTGGGTCAGAGGTCATCTCTGCCATCCATCCTGCCATCCGTCCGTCGGTCCGGGGACCATGTCCTGGAATGCCGTGTTTCTGCTGCTGCTCTATCACACCGCGCAGACGACCATGGGCCGCAGGTGGGACCGAGGTGAGCTGGCCCGGCTGTGTGTGTCTGCCTGCTGCGGCTGACACAGTCCAGGGTATAATCTGGGGTGTGCGGTGGGCAGCGAGTGCAGGGCAGGGGGGAGGCTCACACACCCCTTCTATCTCCTCTCTGCCTGCGGCTTCCTGCTTCTCTCCTTGCCCCTGTGGTCATAAGAAGGACCCTGGGAAAAGTGAGGGGCTGGGGCTAGTGGAGCGTCCGAGGGCACTCATTGGGCAGCCAGAGGGCATTCGCCCCGGCTCTGCCTCCCCCTCATCCTCCCGGCAGGCAGGAAGTAGGGGTTGAAATGGGGGCTGAGCTGCAGACCCTGCTCCCTGGGACCCAGGGCAGGAGGCACCTAGTGGTGGGTCAGAAAGGCACCTCTCCAGGTGCGGCCCCTCCCACCTGTGCAGTGGGGTGGACCTACTCAGGACACTAAGGCCACGGGACCCCAGCATCAGATGTACCTGCCTGCCTGCCACCCCTGGGGCTTTTCGGAATCCCTGGCTCTGTCCCCAGGGATGCCCGGTGCTGAACTAAAGTGGCCTCTGTATCCACCGAATGGCACGCCAGGGAAATCCCCTGCGGGCTATTCCTGTTGAGAATGGGAGAGCTGATCCTAATGGCCACGTGTGATGGCCACATGGTGGCTGCCAGAGAGCCAGGTTTCTCCAGCCGGAAGTCAGTGAGGGGTCCCAGAAAGGCGGCAGGAGGAAGAGCAGAGCCCTTGGAGTTGGGGGCGGGCAGGGGTTATGGAAGTCAGGACCAGGGTCCAGAGGCCCAAGACAGGGAAGGTGAGCTGCTGACCTTGCAGGGGAGATATGATGAGGCTGGTGTCCAGGAACAAAGAGGTAAGGCAGCCCGGCCTGTGGCCCAAGGGTGAGGGGCTCAGTTGCTAACCGCAAGGCGGGAGGTTCAAGCCCGCCAGCTGCTCCGTGGGGGAAAGGTGCGGTGCTCAGCTTCTATGAAGACAAAGCCCTGAGAGGCCCCTGGGGCAGCGCTGCTCGGTCCTGCAGGGTCACTGTGACTCAGAATGAGCTCAATGGCTGCGGGCTTGGGGGGATTGGGGGTTTACATTTAGATGTATGTTGTTAGGTGCAACCAAGCCACTTCTGCTTGCCGTCCCTCAGGGCGACAGAGAAGAACTGACCCCCTGGGGTGTATCAAAGGGACCCTGGTGACACAGCAGTTCAGCGCTCGGCTGTTAGCGGAGGAGGAGTTCATGGTTCGGATCCACCAGTCTCTCCAGGGTGGGGGCGGAGCAGGGAGACGGCCGTCGTCGGCTCCCAGCAGAGAACGGCCTTGCGTAGAACAGAGGCCGTCCTTCTGGGTCCTGTAGGTTCACTGTGAGTTGCTGCCAACTGAACTCCAACAGGGTTAGCTTGGTGGGTTTTGCGGGGGGGCTGTCCTGTTTGGGGGGCAATATTATGCACACACCTTCTCCACTTGCAATGCACAAAGACTGTGGGGCAGCCCTCAAAGGTCGAGGGCGCACTCACCCCACAGGACCCTGGGCACTGATCATTTGCCCCGTGAGAAGGGGTGATGGCCTGGGGTCTCGGATGGGACACTCTGGTCTGTCATCTGGCTGTGTCCTCAGTGGCCGCATCATGAGCGGACCCCCACCCACCCACCCCCACCCCGCAGGATAAGCAGTTACATCGCAGAGAGTGTACGCACTGTTTCTCATGGGCTGTGTGGTCGCTGGCAAGACGCCTAACCTCTCTGAGCTTCAGTTCACCCACAGGAAAATCCCAATAACCAGATTTAACCTTGCTGGTGGCGTAGCAGTCACGTGGTGGGCTATTAAGCGCAAGGTCAGCAGTTCAAAACCACCAGCCTCTCCAGCAGGAAAGAGATGATACTTCTGCTCCTGTAAAGAGTTACAGTCTTGGGGACCCACGTGGGCAGTTCTGCCCTTGGCATTGACTCCATGGCAATGAGTGTGAACTTGAGTTTGGACTTCTTGTGAGGGCCAAATGGGGGCCGGGGGAGGGGGCAAGCCGAAATGCATTGCAAAGGGTGCAGTGCTGTATCAACACTGGTGACACCGACCGCTAAGCGCTAGGCCACTCACGGAAAGGTGAGGGCTCACCAGCCCCAGAGGAGCCCGGAAGAAAGGCCTGGTGATCTGCTTCCCAAAGTCGTGGAAGTCACATCAGCTCCGAGACACACAGTTTCCTGGGAACCAACTGGTCACCAGTGACCAGTTTCCATGGGTCGGTGTGGGCGTCAGCGTGGTCAGGGGCTGGTGCTCTTTTGGTTGATTGCACTTGTAAGGAGATGGCCAGGCCTAGCTTCTGAGGTGCCTCTGCGTGGGCGCTAAGCACCAGCTTTTCTGTCAGCAGCCGCGCGTGTGAGCGTTTGCACCACACGGGGGACTGGCCACTGAAAGTGCTCTCTAGGATTCCACTGTAGGAGGCAGCCCTCCGTGCCAGGGGCGCCTCCCATTAGGACCCAATGACTCACCTGTGGTTACTGGCCAAGATGGGAGAGCCAGGCACACACTCACACCCACACACTCACACACTTAACTATCACACACACACATTCTCAGGCACACAGACTCACACACACACACTCACATACATACACATGCTCTCACACACATACACTGTCACCCACATCTACACAGACACACACACATACACACTTAACTATCACACACAGAGACACTATCACCTACATGTTCACACACAGACACACACATATACACAGAGGCATACACACTCACACACATACACACACAGATATAAAACCACACTCAGGAACACAGACTTGCACACTCACAAATTCACACACAGACACATAGACACAGATGCATACACTCAGAGGAACACAGACACACACTCGCCTTCACTATCATACACATATAAACAGATGCACACACACACACCTACCCAGGCCCACTTCCCCTTCATCTACTGGGGTGCATTAGAGGTGATGGCTGTTCCCCTAAAAGAGGTGTTTAGAAGTCCTAGCCCCTCAGGCCTGTGCATAGAACCCTGTTTGGGAATAAAATCTTTGAAGGTGTGGCCAGTTCGGGTTAACTGGAGGACCCGAACCAAGCTTCCTGCATCAAGTCAACACCGACTCACAGTGACCCTACAGGACAAGGTAGCACTGCCCCTGTGGGGTTCCAAGACTTTCTCCCACAAAGCATCTGGTGGTTTCAAACCGCTGACCTGGCCCTTAGCAGCCCAATGCATAAGCACTATGCCACCAGGGCACCTCCATTCTGGAGATTGAAGTGATGCTGTCACAAGCCATAGAATGCCCAGGGTCTCTGGCAACCCCCGCGCTGCAAGAGGTGTGAAAGGACCATCTCCTGGGCTCTCGGCCGGAGCCTCCAGAGAGTCCACATCTGCGGCTTCAGACCCAAGAGGCAACACACTTCTGATGTTGGAAGTCACCCAGCCAGTGGGACTCGATGGGAAGCTGGACAAAGAACGGAGTGCTCATTGTCACCTCCAGAGATAGGTCTGTCACCTCTGTTACACACACCTTCACGACCTCAAAGTTCGGTGCAGGAGAAGGCACACACAGAACTGCTCTGTGGGGGGAGCGGTGCGCACTCAGAATTAGCCAGGGGAAGCAGCCGGCCGGGTAGAGGCAGAAGCCCACTGAGCGTCTTCTCTGTCTCTCCCAGCGGTGCTCTTCCCTGCTGCCCACCGGCCAAAGAGGTCCACGTCCACCCCGTTGAACCCAGTGCTGCAGAGCTCCCTGGAGGACGTAGAGCTGCTCTATGAGGTGAGCAAAAGCCTGTTGCCATCGAGTGGTAATCCACAGCGGAGGGGGGTGGGTGGGTGAATGCCTAGTGCCAGTATGCCCGGTGGCAGCATGGAGGGGAGGGGAGCAGGTCAGAGGAAGACCTTTGCAAGTGAGTCAAGACCGGGTCTTATGTTTGCAGAGGCCACTGGTTCCCAGGGTCCTTTCTTCTGCCAAAGTCTTAGAGAAGCTATAATGTCCTTGACACCCCTGTCTGCCTCCTGGGTCCCTGGTGGCACAGTGATTAAGTGCGTGGCTACAAATCAAAAGGTTGGCATTGTGAACCCGCCAAAGACCCAAAGGAGGAAGATGCAGCTGTCCGCTGCTAGAGGGATGGCGACAGCCCTGGAAACCCTCTGCGGCAATTCTGCTCTGGCCTGTGCCATCCCTTGAGGCACCATCCACTCAACAGCAGTAGGGGTTGCTATTGGGTGTAGGCCTAATCAGAGGCGTCCTGGTAGCATAGTGGTTGCACAGTCAGCTGCTAACTGAAAGGTTGGTGGTTCAAATCCACCAGCCACTCCTTGGGGAAAACGATGAGGCTGTCTGCTTCCATAATGATCACACTCATGGGAACCCTCCAGACAACGAGCCCTGCAGTTTGGACACTCTGACTTCATGCACCAGAGCTGACCAGATAGGAAAGAGACAGGCTGCTGTAGGCAGGCAGGTAAGCCCAGGAGACCCCAAATCCTGCCTGGGGAGCATACTGGAAATGGGGAGCCTTGCTAAGCCTTGAAGGTGAGTGTCCTGTGCACAAGTCTGTGAGAAAGACAACAGACACACATGGTGGATGTATTGGAGCCAGAGGGAGATGAAACAGAGCGAGCTGGTAGGATTCTGAAGCATTCCATCCAAAAGGGGCTTACTGGGTTCCCACTCTGGGCCTGCCCCGGTACATGGGATGACACAAAGTATGTGACACACTGCCCCTACTCGTGGAGAGCAGATGGGAGCAGAGGACATAGAAGAGGCTTCCAAAAAGTCCTCAGAGAATTCCCCCTGTACCTCTGTAGCACAATTAATTCTGAGCAGGATTCTCCACACCCTGGGAATCTCCGTTTCTGATAAATAATTAGTCCTTTTATGCTTTTAGGTGGAGGGGGAAAGGAGGAAGGGGGAGGTCTGGAAACAACAAATGGTCCCTTCAACAGTGGCTTTGCGCCAGCACTGCACTAGGTGTTGTCCTCGTTCACCTTATCACTCACCAGCATCAGGTGACAGCGATGTCAAAAGCCAGTTGCCATTAGTCGGTTCCAACTCATGCCAGCCCCGTGTGCTCAGGGCCCAGCCGCTCCCCAGGGTTTCGGGGCTCTGAACTTTCAGAGGCAGATCACTGGGCCCTTTTGCCCAAACGCCTCTGCGTGGATTCAAACAACCAAGCTTTGGTTTGGTTGCCAAGCACTGAACCATCTACAGCACCCAGTGATGGTTCGAGGTTGTTACGAATCCTTTACAAAGGATGGCATTGAGGCCCAGGGAAGCTGAGCAGGAGCACATTACCCCATAAACAAGGTAAGCACAGGCTTTTTTCTGCTTGCTCCATGATCTATAGTGAACAATTTCACAGAGGCTTCACATTACAACTTGTTTGCCTTGCTTACCAGGAGCCCTGGTAGCATAATGGGTTGTGCAAGGTCAACTGTTTGAAACCACCAGCCGCTCCTTGGGGAAAGGATGAGGCTTTTTATTCCTATAAGAGTGGACACCCACTGGGGGGCTGGTCCCAGCCCCAAATACTA